CGCTACACTAGTGATCACTGGGGAATCTACTGCACCTTCACAGCTGAATAGAACTACACAAAACAACCAAAAACATGACAGTTAAGCATTTTATTTTAGATCAGCTGCTCTTTAAATGCTATGCAGGAAGATGTTCTTATTGCCTGTAAATGATTCACCTTATTTTAATCAGTTTTATACTCTAATGTGTGTCTGCTTAAGTGTTTTATGTGGTTAAAATGACAAATTAAAATATGAAAAGTACCAATAAATTACAATGTCTTTGTTTTATTATACACTTGCACTGATTGGGGGGGAGAGTCCATTAACAGAAGTCTGACAGCTCTTCAGCTTTTAACCTTGTTACATGATCTTCCTCAGTGGATGGAGTTGGGACTGAAAAACACCACACACAGCATGAGAAACCCTACTGGGATGTCACTCTGTGTGTAATACACACATCAGGCCACTAGAGGGTAGTACACAGTTGAATCACAACTGTTCAAACACTGACAAACACAAGAAGCAGTGTTATGGGAAGTCTTAATGGTGAGTCCAAGTTTTAACCACTACGCACACAGTTATGCCTGAAGCTGTTGATCCGCTGTTTTAACAGCTACATGTAATATAGGGCAGATCGCGGGGTGCACCTTAGACGTGGTAAAAAGTAATTTTGTGTTTATGTGTAATGTCTTTACTTACTTTTATGTTTTCATGAGCAGGATTTACAAAGAGGTCATACATAATTTTTTTTTTTTTTTTAAAGCACGTTATGTGAGAATCTTCATGACCTCGGTATTCTACCTACGTTATTACCAATCCAGCGCTTTTTGGCCGCTTAATAATGTTGTTTTTGGTCAAGATGATATCATTCACGAGGGATACATTTGACATATAATTCACAAATTATAGACCAACAAGTCATTTACAGCCATTTAAATGCCGGTGTTTTAGGTTAACTGGTTATATTTGTTGAAATTCCTCTCTGCGTGTTCCAGATGTTGCATCCGTAGATTTGTCATTTTCACTGAATGGTTGTCTCTGTCGGCCAGTGTGCTGTTTAGTCAGGCGGTTTGCTCCTAACTGAACTGTGAGTATCACTAATTTACGTGGGTGTGTTTCCTGAATCAGCTGACGGAGCGAACAGGATGCATCCAGGTAAACTCGAAACTGTCGAGCTGATCCGTGGCATGGTGGAGAAACTGTCGACTTGTGATTTACACAGAGGTACGATACCACGCTGAAGAATTTAATTTCTTTTAGTTATTATTGTTATTTAAATCGTTTCAAATATGAAGAGGGTTAAAGAAGAAGAAGAACTAAAGAATTAATGAAACAACATGATTCAAGTGTAGGTTTAGTCTGCCTGCCTTAAAATCCACACGTACAGAATAGGAATTAGGCATTAGGGGGTTTGTAAAGATGGATAGAGATTTCAAATAGTTTAGTAATTATTTTTATATAATTTTCTGTATGTTTATTAAAGGTTATGCAAAATTGAGAGAATGGGTGGAGCTAGAACATGTCAACATACTTTCAACCACATTTGTGTTGCAACCATACACACAAAGACACAAATAAACATACTGAGAAACTGCCTGGGTGTATTTGCAGCGAAGCTATTTTTTTTAAGTTATAATAAATGAATAGAAAGCTTAACCTGTTGTGACCTTTCTTTTAGAGATCCTTGAGCTAACTTGTTGAAGCAGACATGGAGAGCGACTCTGAAACACACAGTGGTGAAGATACTACTCCTGATGACTGGTAAGTCTGCTGTCTGTTCTCCTACATGTGGTGAAGTTTGTTTATGACTCTTGTATTTTTCATTGACTGCTTCTATGAAAAATTTGCAGGATGGAATTGGCTGATGACAGTCCTGCTGCCAGTCCTGCTGCCAGTCCTGCTGCCAGTCATGGTGCCAGTCATGGTGCCAGTCATGGTGCCAGTCATGGTGACAGTCCAGCCAACAGTCCTGCTGTCACACAGGAACCCTCAGAAAAAGAGGATTTTAAACTGTCCCTGATCACCTGGAATGTGGACGGGCTTGATGTGGAAAACCTTCCAGAGCGTGCCAGAGGCCTGGTTAAATATTTAAACTTGTAAGCACGTGTTTCATTTTTCACACTTTAAGGCATCGTTTGGGAGAAATTGTTGCTGGAGATGCAACATTTTCCTAAAAGCTGCATATATGTGACAGTTAATATGATTAAAGTAATTTTTTGTAAATGCAGATACAAACCTGATGTGGTGTTCCTGCAGGAGCTCATTGACCCTTATGTCCACTTCTTGAAGAAACGGTTTGTCAGTTACCTGATGATTGAAGGTACAGTATGTCAGATACAGGTAGGAAAAGTCCATGTATGAATGATCAAATTGTGATTAATGGCTGAAGGTAGTTGAACTGCTTTGGTTTCATGTAGTGTCACACATGAGGAGAGCTGTTAGGGACTTTAGTTAATATTAGTAACATCTGTATTCTTCCTTCACTGTTTTTATAAAACCTGACTGTTGTACCAACACTACCAGATTGGCTGATCAGGTTTTTGGAAGCAGGATTTTGTAATCATATTATCACAGAACTCACTATGAGCAGGGGGCTGGTCCAGATGGGAGAAAGAGTGTTTAACAAAATACCTGATTTGTAAGTATCGAAATAAATGAGCAGAGGGAAGCATACATTTTGATTACAGCTGAGCAAATGAAGCAAAACAAATGTCGATGTAGAGAACTCATTCTGACCATCTGAACAGCAGGAACAGCTAAAACATTATTCCAGAAAACCCACGTTCTGGCGTTGCAAACCCATAAATAGTGCCTGAAAACTGGGAGGCCTAATCCGCTCTCAGAGGTGGGTTTCTGCAAGTGTGCCTTCACAACTCTATGGGATTTATTTGCTCATAAGAAAGACAATGATAGAGTCAATAGTTTGAAAAAAAAAAGTAAGAAAGATGGGAATGTTTTGGAAGAGATGAATACATTTAGGAAGTACAACTATTTTAATTATATTAAAACATCTAATTAAAGAAAGTGGGAGAAGTGTCCAATTATCTATCTTAGCTTTAATACTATCAACCAGGTCCTGAAAGTTCAATTTAAATAGTAGCCAGAAAGTTGCCCAAATTTATTGATGAGGCAAAGCAGGGGAGGCAAAGAGAGCCTGGCATCTGACAGTGTCAGGGCCACATCATCTGCAAGTAAAGTGACGATGGACTCGACTGGACCACTGGATATACCTACAATGTCAGAGTTGTTCCTAACTGTAATGGCCAGAGACTCCATAGACAAGGCAAGTTTATTTATATAGCACAATTCAACAACAAGGTGATTCAAAGTGCTTTACATAGCTAAAGCAAAGCGCACAGGGGACAAACAGCAACCCTGCCTAGTCCCTCAGTGAAGTAGAATCAGATGTGACCTTATTCTGAAGGTCTTTGTGGATGATTCGGCGTCACACAACCCAGACACCAATGAAAATAAAGCAGGATGTGCAGTGGTCACAGAACATCTTAGCATTAGGCTCATTATCATATCACTAAACAGAATATGGAACTAGCATTAACATGAAAACACACTAACTTCATCTCGTTGGAACAAGAGTGAGGGGTGAAAGAGCGCCCTCCTCCAACGTGAGCGTGCCAAGCTTCAACTCAGTGACGTGCAGAGTGAGACTCTGAGTCACCTGGGAGGGATCAGCAATGAAACGCAGATAACACCTGAATAGACAATCAGGCTGGTTTTGCCTGAAAGGTTCAGTATGTTTTTCAGTTGTGGTGGTTATTGATGAGACTTCTCTAATAATTTTACTGATACATCCACATGACTCTCCAAACGTCACAAACACAGGAAAGCTGTATATGAATTGCTGTGTTTCAAACTCTTCTCTAGTCCTGATTTTATTAAAAGTAAATACAGTAATTAAAGTATGCAAATTTCACAGATACTCGACTAACAAATTACTCGTACTCATTCTGTATGGCAGCTAGACTGCTTCCTGACACGTAAGAAAGCTGTGCATTAGATCCTCATTATGCTAGTAAATATAACAACAGCTGTACATTCCTTTGTCATATTTACTGAATTCTGAACATCATCTGAAACCCTAAACTAGACTTTTGTGGTCATTCCACTTCATTAAGGGATTTCACTGGGTCTCGAACATGCTTTGAGCACCCAAAGGATGAACTTTTTCTTTCAGAGCTAAATGTGACCGACCGCTTTGTTTTCCCCAGTGGCACCAGTGATGTAGGCACAATAATTGCTAATTGTAAATAGCACTGGGATGTTTTAAACTGTTATCACAGTGTTATTGATGCTGTTATGTCAAACCGATTACCTTACAACAGTAAAAATCACAAAGCACTGCATAGATAGAAAAATGCTGATCTGTCGCTCTGCTGCAACATCCAGATCAAAAGTATTTGATGTACGTTGGCTGTGCGGAAACACATGGCAGCTTCTGGTTTTACCTCAGACTATGAAGGGCATTGGTCTCAAAGTTAGATCATGGTTTGTTGTATTCATTTATCCACCGGTTCAGTCACAGGCACTATCCCCTCATGGTACAGTTCCAAGGACATCTTTGAGGCTGACTCTAAAGTGTTTGCGTGCCACGTCATAGGTGGCTCTGGACAGGTCACTGATAAGGATAAAGCACACAACCAAATTCACACCATGGCAACCTTTCTTAGAACATTTGTTAGACACCGACGATAAAGACAGATGGATAAATTACATTTATTATGTTCAGTAAAGGGTTGCTGATTCCACTGTGGACCTAAAGCCACATGAAATCAAATGGATGTAAGAAGAAGTCGCATGACAGGGAAAAAAGAACGGCACGAAAGCAGGGTGTGTGTGATGTTTGGTGATGAATGTTGTACCTTCATCCCAAACAATATTGCTGCTAATGGATATTTTAATGGATTTAATAATACAGTTTGATAAACATGTCTCACACCAAATGGCTTCCTTATCTCAACAACACTCTCTCATAAATGAACAAATTAATTTAACTAAAGTTTTAAAGCTGTCTTTTTGCAGTTGAACAACCAATGCTGTTTCATATTTCCATGTGTAATCTGATAGCTTTTCCTTTGTATTATTACTGCTATGTTTGCACAAAAATTTAACACTCCAAGAGCAACTGAAAATAAACAGAAGGGTGGAGACTCAGACTAAGAAGAGCAGGTAGGTGGTGAGAATCCAGAGAAAGATATGCTTAAACGGCATTTTTAAGAGATATGTATTTTTTGATAAAGCTTCTGTTTAACATTAATTGCAATGTATGACAATAAAAGAGTTGATACACTCCTCATTAAGGACATGGAAGTAGAGATATCGGACGCTTTATGGGCCAATGGGTTGAAGAGGATTAAAGAATGCTCTGTTAATGCCAGATTACAATTTATATGGTTCAAAGTCCTTCATCGTTTGCATTTCTATAAAACAAAGCCAGGCAGTATTTGTCTATTATCTATTTCCTCATTGCGTGATAAATGCAAAGCAGTGGAAGGAACCCTTGGCTCTTGAAATGTTATAAATGCTGTCGTGTATTCTATGAAAACAGTTTTGTCAGTGAGAATTACATACTTATCTTTTGTTAAATACTCAGTTTCCTGTACCTCTGTACTATTTTTTTCTCAAACTGCTCATCAGTTCCCTCTGACCCATGTGCTGTTACATGCAGCGCGTTTGTTTCTATGTAATCAGATGTGTGTGTGTGTGTGTGTCATGGTACAAATTTCACATGTTTGTCAGAAACAGGAAAATCAACAGTCTGTTGGAGTCACTGCACTCATTTAATCATCTGCACGATGGAAGATAAATCACATTTCCCTGAAATAATGGCAGTCAACTAGTTTACATGTCAAACCTAAACCCACCAAGTTGACAGGACAGCATGACAACAATAGAAATGCAAGTTTAAAAGATTATTTTTAAAAGACTATTATAAAAGATCATTTCCTTTATTTAATTAATCTCACGTGTTGTTTAATCATTAGAAAGCATCTTATAATTCTAACATATTATCACTAAATTTGTTGACTGATCACTAATTGGAGGCACCGGTCTATTAAAAAATCAACCTGTTGTCTTGCAAGGTCTCGGTCAGCAGTAAGTGTCTGTTAAGTTTTCCAATTTTAACAGTAATGGGAGATATGGCATGTTTATGAGTATAAGCTGGTCTGCATTACACGCGCGCGTGTGTGTTGTTTGTTAGTAAGCGGGTTAATGCATTTGCTGTTAGGATGTGTGTACCTTTTGTTGTGATGCTCAGGACCCTTTCTTAACCTCCACTCTGAGTCAGTCTGCCTTAGTTTTTCCTGGTTTTCCGTAACCCAATCTTCATGTGTGCCCACACTAAAAACAGCCTTCGTTGTTCCTCTATGTTCTCTTCTCCCTCCTTGTTATCTTCTTCCTCCTTCTCACGGCCGCTGCCTGCGTCTCCCACATCCTGCAGCACATCATGGTTATAATGCGCACATTATCAGCAGTTCAGTGGGCAGTTTTTCTTCAGCTTTGTCTTATTTTTCAGTTATTCTGTCAGTCCGGGATCTTCTCCTGTGTGAGGAAACCCCTCCCTACCTTACAGTTGTTACCAGGGATGTTTTATTTTCATGCTGATGTCAGCTTTAACTGACACAATGAAGTCAGTTTTTCTTTCTTGTTGACTAGACCACCCTGTTATCATACACCCAAGCACAAGCAGCCTGTCTGCTCTGTGTTGTGGCTCTGTAGGTTTTTAGCAATTTGCCTTCAACACTCAACTCTGTCAACTCCTCTTAGTTAACCCTTCACACCGTGAGATCAATGCTTGTATCCTTTTAATGAGGAGTGCATGAACTCTATCGTGATCATACATTGCAATTAATGTTCAAAAAAAACTTTATCAAAATCTTATTTCTAACAAATTCCTCCTTTCACACCATCAGGTGTGAATTCCACTATTGCAGATCCTTTGAAGAATATAGGGAATTTTTGGAAGAATTTTGTAGTCTTCCTCCTTCAGTATTCCATTACTTTATACAATGTACCAATACTACTGGCAACAAAACAGCCCCAGAGCACGATGATACCACCGTGCTTGACAGCTGATACGGTGTTTCTAGGTTTGAAAGTCTCATCTTTACTCCTGTCATTGCTCAACCTTTTTCTCTCACCTGACCATAAAAAATTTGACCAGAAACAATTTGACTTGCCCATGTGGAGCAGGGGCTTCTTTCTTGGTCAGCACACTCTCAATCGGGTTCACTATGGACAGAGATGCTGGTGTTCCAGCAGTTTCCAGTTCATGCAGGTTTGAACTCCTAAACATTCTAACTAATTTCCTCTCCTACAATTTTGATTGTGACACATTCGAATAACTTGAACGGATGAGATAGAAATGGCTCTAACTCATGTAAACGTGCAATTCCCTTTTCAAATCCCCAGCCCATGATCACTGGTATAAATGAGAACCTACCTGTCAGTGGACTTGTATTAAAATAGTTTTTGTTTTGTCTTCCTCTTGTGTTGACCAGGTGCTGAGGAAGGTTACTTTACAGGGATGTTGCTGAAAAAGTCACGAGTCACATTTGTGGAGAGTGAGATAGTACCTTATCGCACCACTAAGATGAGGAGGAACCTGCTTGTTGCTCAGGTGTGTGCAAAATCATCTCTGATATTTTCTTTGTGTGCATAAGTTCTGCTGAACGTGACGCTCAGAAACATTTTTTTTTTGCAAAAATCAGGTGATCGTCGATGGCCAGAAGCTGTGCCTGATGACATCCCACTTTGAGAGCTGTAAGGCCAATGCTAAAGAGCGTATGAATCAGCTGCATGTGGTGAAGTGGAGGTTTAAACATGCACCTGATGATGTCACCGTTGTGTTTGGGGGAGACACAAACCTGAGGGATGGGGAGGTCAGACGCTGCTCCTTCCACTCACATACAGCCAGTAAACTTGTAACAAGAAATCACAGTAACTCTTTTCTCTGGACCCGTCTCAGGTACCCAAGGTGGGCCTGCCTGCAACTGTCTGTGATGTGTGGGAGCGACTGGGCAAGCAGGAGCACTGCCGCTACACGTGGGACACCACTGCCAACAACAACAAGAAAGCTTCCTACCCTGTTCGCTTCCGCTTTGATAGAATCTACCTCCGCCCGGCCATCAGACGTGGAGTCCCACGTCTGGCCCCTGATCACATGGCCTTGGTGGGGCTGGAGAAGCTGGACTGTGGCCGCTACACTAGTGATCACTGGGGAATCTACTGCACCTTCACAGCTGAATAGAACTACACAAAACAACCAAAAACATGACAGTTAAGCATTTTATT